GCTAGTCAATTGACTTAAAAATGATTTACTTTATCTATCTATCGTCGTCTTTACATACAATTAGAATTTTTTACACATGCTCATAAAGCTTATAAAATTAGGAAATACAATTCTGCAACTACCCTATTGTTTTCAATAGGAAACGGTACACAAACACACACACACACACACACAATGCATAGTATAGAATATTATGAAATAAGATGCCCCCTCCCCCTCACTAATATAATCAGTTATATAATTAAAGGTCCACTGGAGCTTTGTCTCTGTTGGCAGACTGATAACATGTTGATAAGGCACAGAGGATTGTTTTATTTTGAACTTTTTTTCTCACTTTAATTTTTGGTATTTTCCCACGTATAATTTAGAAATATTCTGTAAATGTATATAAAAACGCAGCCATTGTATTTCAGCTATTTTACGTGCGCCATTATAAATAAACTGAATAATTAATGAAATTATATTTTAACTTTGGTATTTTATTTTTCTTCTGCGAAAAATTAAAAAGACCATCAAGGTTTGTCCTGTTAATATTTTTTATGTCATCACAATATTATAATAATATATTATCCGGCCGTGCCATTGGCATTCGGAGGCCTTGCTCGCTAAAGTGTCCGAGAGTAACTGAGAAAAAAAACAGTTAATCCGAATAACATTTAGTAATCCAGCCCAATCGGATCGATAGCCTATTGAATGTGTTCGTGATTAGTAGCTATATTGATTGCAGTGACATCATGTGAACACATCGGAGTGATGGTTGTTTCGCAAACAACTTGTCAGAATGAAAATATATCTGTGGGTTTCAATGACCTTTATGAGACATGTTTTTGTTTGTCTCAAATTGTGTTTCTTTTCGATAAATTACACCTCACATACAAGACGGGGAACCTTTATTTGATCACACGTGTCTTCAGACAAATTAATCGAGTAAAATATTTAGATCCGCGAGAAAATAAGCGAACAATTATATTCTTTTAAAAACACGTGTGTCGGGGAATGTTTTCCCTCATAAAACAGCCTCATAACAGATCTCACGTTGTTGTTGTTTTTTTAATTAAAAAGAGAAATGTATCAAGAGAAATCTAACCGTGGTGATTATTGAATATAGGACATTATTTGGCACCTGTTGTCGGAAATATTTTCACTCGTGAAGAACGCAGCTGTATTAAAGTCCATTTCTACCTAAATTGACTTTCGGTTTTGAGTGAAACCAAGAGCAGAGAGCAGTTGTGTGCGCCCAATTCTTTCTGCCAATCGATCAGACTGCAGATAGATCGATATGGCACCAGGGCTATTGATCACCACGGCCCTCTATTGCAAGGCGCTTTCAAATGCAAATGAGCTAAATATGAATCCGCAGCAACACACTAATTCCTTAACAAACCGCAGGAAAACGCTTTAAAGTGATTCTTTTTTTTTTCTCCCTCTCCTTTCTTTCTTTGAACATTTGTGCTTTTTAAAATACAGATCTGGCTTTGAAATGAGCAGGCGGTTTAAAGATTTAACAGGACAAACAGGCAACGTTCAAAATGCAGGGTGACATTGATTTAGCCTGCAGCCTATTTTGAAAGTTGGTCGAAAACATTTGAAAAGCAAAGCCTTAAAGTTTAAAGATTTAACTTGGCAATATTTCGCCCAAAAGAAGCAGGAAAAAAAATCACAACAACCAGAGCAAAATCACAACAAACACAGTGCTGAGTTTCAGTTTAGCGTGATCAATAGTTGCAATTTGCATGATCATTATGATCGTATTTCTACACTTAATCCGGCATCTAAATAACAATATTCACGTGAATAGACAATCGCACACACGGGCTCACTTAAAGTAGAGCCATAGGCAAACAAGGCAGATGTAGAGTTTTTGCCCCAACAAGACCACATGCTGTGTGTGTGTGTGTGTGTGTGTGTGTGTGTGTGTGTGTGTGTGTGTGTGTGTGTGTGTGTGTGTGTGTGTGTGTGTGTGTGTGAGAAGAAAAGCAGCGGCGGCCCCGTCCCGCTGACTTGCTCGGAAGGCCTGATCAATGCGACATTACTAAACACCGCTGCTTAACTTTTGCCAATAGCCAGATTCAAGTAAATATACTTTAGAATACATTAAGCGCGATGCATCAGCCACGGAGTCGTTCAAGAAGTCATGAAAAGATTAGTCTGTCTCCATCGAGTGATTCCTGGGAAAATACACAAGCTCACGCGGGAGAAGCTGACCGGCCGAACACGTCTCATTGACACGCTGTGTCTAATAGAAATTAAATTAAATACAAATACCAGGGGTTAAATAACAAACATTGCCTTTTTTTTCTTGTGTAAAATCATGGAGTTCAAGAAACTTTTTTTTTTAGAAACCCGCCAATAATAACGATACTGCTGAAGATGTACAATGCAGATGTGCACACGGATTGAATGTAATGTGTCTTTAGCACAGAGTCTGCAGCACTCAGCCAAATGAAAAGCTCAGCTTAAACTTCCCAGCTGAGTGCTATGTGGTCATTTCCTGTAATGAAACTGCCTGTTGACACAGGTCAAACACATAACAGGATGCTCCTATAACTTAAACCATTTCAGCAGAATGCATTTTGGGCGCCATCGATCCTTCAGAAATGCATCGAGCGAAGCTCCGGGTTCAGCATCGATTAGTTGATCCGCAAACGACAGCAGTGCTTAAGGATAAAAAACAAAATGCTTTGGGCCTCGTAAAGGCTGCGTCCAAACGAATCCCGCCGAATTACACCAACGTCTAACTTTTTAACAAATGAATTAAAACCCAGATTAGAACATCTGTGTGTGTGTGTGCGTGGAGTCGATGCCTACGTGGCGCCGAGGCCACCGCCGCCCGGCCCGCTGTTAATATGAAATAAATCACCGGGTCTCTGCGGCATCGCCCTGGTCACACCGCAGATATCGACACGGTTAATATTTCATATTGTATTCGCCATAGGATATGCTTATGTGCGTATCACAAAGCAGTACATTACAATACAAATTAAAACTGAGCTCTAGGCGGATCCATGGATTTTTGAGGAGGGGAAAATAGCTCGGGTTTACTTAGCATTCCTTGTGTTTTTTATTTTATTTTAGCTGACTGAATGAACGATCGGACCAAGCTGCATGCAATAGAAGAAAGCAACATGATTAAAAATGGTAAAAGTATCATTTTTTTTTCTTTATCAGCGTGGTGTTAACTTGACCTCGCGGCGCAGCCCAGAGAATCAGGATGAAGACAACAACAACAAAACATACTTGCAGGGAGTTCTACAAGTTCTTGGTGAGGGTATAAAACTTTCCAGCGCGCTGTTTTGGGTTGTAAACCCTGGTGAATTAGGAGCAAGGAGCTCAGCAATGAAAGTTAACATCCATCACCACCGCGACCAATAAGCTGCTCTGGCCGGCTGGCTGAGCACAGATGACGGATTCGCTGCTGTGCGGGCTTCGGTAATTCATTTTCGATAGCAGTGGTTGCTGGGATCAATATGGGGACATTAACCCAAGCGGACACTGCTGTTCTCCCGATGGCACAAGCCAAAAGCCACCATCCCCCGTTGGCAATCAGCAAAGACATAGTTTTTAGGGTCATTATTTGGGGGATATGGCGAGAGGAGACGTGTGCCAAGGCCACTGACATCACAATTCATCAGTGAAGTTATGGATGGCCGTGACCTGTCTGTTGGTAAACACTGGGGAATTATTTCATGCAATTTGCACGTGATTAGTGATGTAAGTTTTTTGAATTGTGGAGTCCTAATGACCTCGTTTTAGAACATCGGTGTAAATGCCATATTTTTGCATAGTTAACAAAGCAACTTCATGGACTAAGCGCTGCTCTGGTTACACCAACATCCGTCCATGCACGCGCACACACTTGCCAAGACACGCTCGTGTTCAAACATACAAAATCTGTCACAGAGGTGTTGATGTTGTGACTTTTTTTTGCCGTTTTCAATCTCATGTGTTACATGTCTCACTACATCGCACCCTATAAGATAGCTGCACGTGCTGGAAAGTAACAACAACCCTGCAATAAATATGTTATGTTTGTGAAACACTGCGTCAGATGGGGGCCATTCTCAGGCCACGTGGGGCCATAAAGCAAAGTAAACGCAATATCAAACTATAGGGCCGCTAAATTATCCTTTTTAACTTTAAATGGACCCACCTGGAAAGGTGAGGCTATCTCAGCTTTCGCGTGAATTACTCGCCAACCATATCCAATGTCTTGATCTTAACTCGCACTACATGGCATCCATATTGCAGGCTCCTGCAGGCACCAGCCCATCGATGCATCTCCTGGTCCATCCACTGATCCATACACACTTTGACATTGATGGATTGCTGACCTGGATTGACGTCAGCGAGCAGCGAGTTTGATACAGTTTGGGGAGAGTTTTTTTTTCGTGGCCCGAATCCGTGGAGCTATAGATGCAAAAAAGGGTCAAAGCCTCGAGGCGATGTTCTCTTCAGATTTATTCAGTAACATCTGCTGAAGGAATACAAAAAAAAAATTCAACTCTGAACTTATAAGTGAAAGTTAATGGCGAGACATCGGTAAGAACCATTGTCTCGTTTTTCGATTAAAGAGAGACCCAAATGGAATGTAAACGTGCCAAAGGTCACCCACGCGTCTGAAGCCGTGGAGCTCAATCTCTTAAAGAATTTGCATCTTAAATGGAGCTAATGGCAGCACGCATGGAGACATTATGTGTCTTAAATTGAATAAATAAAGAAGGAGGAGAGCTGTGACCCCTTCGAGATAACTTGTGTGTTTTTTTTTCATTACACTCGTGGTCCGATGTGACACATGTCAATTAATATTTAACCTTCAAGAGAGGGATCACGTGCGCCGCTGGCGCCGTGTCAAATGCCTTTATCAGAGAAAACAAGGCGCAGGTCCATCTTATCCATCTCAGTGTAAATGTTGCACACACTGCACTCCTGTGTTTTTATCTTCACAAGTGTCTAATGCAATCTTCTTCTTTTTTTTTTCTTCTTCTGAGTGTTGGAGGTCCAGCGCACAACACCAACAACCCCGATGACATCGGGTCCAGTGACGTCAGGTTGGCCCCAGACAAGAGTGCGCGGACGCACCACGGGAGCGCGCACAGGCGCGCAGGCTCGAGCTCATCTTAACATGAGCGCGGCCACGTCGATACACACACACACACACACACACAGAGCGGAGCGGCGCTTTGGCTATAGTAGAAGGTGCTCCACAGCGGAAGAAATCCAGGCAGGCGCAGACACCTTCGCGCACTGAAGCATCGGTTTGCGGCGCGGTTGGCGTGGCGGTCGGGACCCGATCTTTTAAAACCATGCTGGATTGACTGCAGAGAGGCAACCCTCAATCAATGGCTTAGCTTTGAAATCGTTTTAAATTTATTGGAAAGGAGTGTGAGATAGAGCGGCGGCGAGAGAGGGGGAGAAGCGGAGGGGAGAGAGCGAGAGAGCGGCGAGAGGGGTGCAAATAAAGATCCCTTCAACGATGGAGCTTACAATGGAAAACATTGGAAATCTGCACGGCGTGCCCCATTCCCATCAAACGAACGACTTAATGAACTCCCCGCACGCGCGCCAGTCGTCTCATCGGAACTTGGTGCACGGACGGTCAGCCATGGTGTCCAGCATGGCCTCGATATTGGAGGGAGCGGGGGACTACCGCACGGACCACGCTTTGTCTGGGCCCCTGCATCCCGGCAATGACCATGTCGTGCGACTCCGGGATGAGCATGAGCAGCACCTACACCACGCTGACGCCGCTGCAGCACCTGCCCCCGATATCCACCGTCTCGGAGAAATTTCACCACCCGCACCCGCACGCTCACCATCATCCGGCGCACCAGCGACTCGCGGCCGGGAACGTCAGCGGCAGCTTCACCCTGATGAGGGACGACCGGAGCCTCGCCTCCATGAGCAACCTCTACGGGCACTACCCAAAGGACATGTCCGGCATGGGGCAGTCTCTGTCCCCGCTGTCCAACGGTCTCGGGTCTTTGCACAGTTCCCAGCAGACTCTCGGTGCCTACGGCCCCGGAGCTCACCTCTCCAACGACAAGATGATATCCTCGGGGGGGTTCGAGTCCCACGCCGCCATGCTGTCCCGGGACCAGGAGCATCTGGCCCGGGGACTCGGGGGCCACGGGGCCGGGCTCATGACATCTTTGAACGGTATACACCATCACAACCATCCGCACTCTCAGGCAAACGGGTCCATGATGTCAGATCGGGACAGGCAGACGGTGGTGGGAGGCGGGCAGGGAGGTGGGTCGGGGCAGGTGGAGGAGATAAACACCAAGGAGGTGGCACAGCGAATAACGGCGGAGCTCAAGCGCTACAGCATCCCGCAGGCCATCTTTGCTCAGAGGATCTTGTGCCGGTCCCAGGGAACTCTGTCCGACCTCCTGCGGAACCCTAAACCGTGGAGTAAACTCAAGTCTGGCCGGGAGACGTTCAGGAGGATGTGGAAGTGGCTCCAGGAGCCCGAGTTCCAGCGGATGTCGGCGCTCCGGCTTGCAGGTGAGTGAGGAGACAGCTCCCAACCTGAGTGATGTGGAGGGATCAATTAGAAGTCAATGTGGCGAGACTGTCAATAGCTGCTCAAACAGACATTACTAGAAGTTATTAGTCGATTGTATCGAGTAAAACTTCATCACGACAGTTGGGGTGTTAAATGTTGGGGGAAATCTATATTTTGATTGATGCTACGATCCATGATAGTATAAACAGACGCTCTGCAACACTGGAGGTGATATAAACAAAAAGGGAGGACGCATCTCCCAGAAGCGGAAAAGGTGCACGCGCAGTATGGCCAGATGTGTTACGCACACATGCAGCGGTTTAGGCACGAGGATACGAGCACCCCTCTCATGCTGTGTCACTCGCTTTCAATGTCGTTCTCTCTCTCTCTCTCTCTTTCTCTCTCTCTCTCACACACACACACACAAACGCGAGCGCGCACGCACGCACACACGCACAGAAAGAAGCCAAACAAAGCAAATCAAAGCAGGATGCGATCAAAATTGATTGCATCTTGCAGCTGCTAAAGCTAACAGACACGGAGGGATCACCGCAACGCAAATAACCCGTTTTACGTTGCACTTATTGCGATCAAACAAAGTTGATGTGGTAATCTGGCACTCCCCCTGTCAAATCAGCGCTTCGCCACAAACAAGAATCTTCTGAGGCCTGGCCAAGAGTCGGGGGAGCATGACCTCCTGTGGATCGATATTTCAGGTCCAGGCGTCCCCTTTCAGAGCAGCACACTGATAAATGATCGATTTGGATCTGAAAGACACAAACAGATGCGTCTTTCTCTGGCCCGTGCTGTCTGCTCTGCACTCTGGGGGTATCTCTTCTCAAAAGTTAGTTCAGGGCTTTAGCTCTCCGACACTGAGAAATTCCAATTATTGCGCTTGGTGAGATTTTGTGTGCGGCCACATGTTATTATAAAATCGGTGTGGACGTCCCTCGTTTTCAGTTGGAGACTAATTGGGGCACACCAATGCACCGTTTCTGAACCCCGTCTCTTTGAATGCTTCATGTCCACGCATCGTTTGGAGTTTTATTGCGTAAAGATTATCGCACTAAACGCTGTGAATTTAATCCCCCCCTCCTTCAAACCCCGTAACACTTAGTACCTGATTACCAAGACGTAAATGCAAACGCAAGACGTCGCGGTGGGGTTAAAATAGACGTGAGTGAGAGGTCCCCCGCCGCATTGATGTTTGTGTAAAGGCCCCGTTTAGACGTGCTGCTCTTCCAAACGTCAATCAGCTCTTCTGTGTCGTATTTCAGCGAACCAGTTCAATTAAGCAGATATAGTGGCATATTTTAGTTCCAGTCAATGCCCTATTGAAAAGCACTTAATGGCATGTAAATTGTTCCTTTGCACATTTAGTGGGGTTCTGGTAAATAAAGATTTAAACACTCCACAATTGTCTCTTTAAGTGCCACTGCTGTTAAAGCTAATTGGGCTGTGAGGTTTTATATCTTCCACACTCGGCGTCAGGATACACCCCCACCTGCCCCAACTCAATTGATATGTCGGAGTGCCACAGTCCTGCAAGTGCATATTTTTATGTGATCAGGCCTCAGGCAGCCTAAATGTGCATGCGTGTGCTTATCTGGATGTAGAATGTAGTTCAGGCCTACATTTTCAAATTGATCCAGAGGTGATCATTTCTTTTTATTCTATTGTAAAATACATTTTTATGTATAGCCTACTCCACTCATACTGTCCGCCTTAAAATAGCCGATTTTTGTGCCCCTTTTGTCCATTAAACTGCAGTCAAAAAACGGTCTCTGAGAAGAAGCAGTTGTGCAAAATGACAAATGGCTTGTATGCAAATGCACCAAGCAACATTTTACTTATTGCATTTAAAATCCCCATTATCCTCTGTGCAGCGTGTGGGCCGGGAGTGGGAGTCGAGGTGGGGAAGGGGGGGGGGGGATGTGATGCTGAAAGTGAGGCTGAGGCTCGCTCGGCCACATCAATCAATAAATTCAAATTACTATTCCAAATTCATCACAGTCACACAAATCAATGCAGCTGCCCTGCTTAGCTAATGTGAAAATGCCAGTGTCTGCACACACACACACACACACACACACACACACACACACACACACACACATATATACATACATTCACACACACACACACACACACACACACACACACACACACACACGACAATCCAGCCCTAAAACGAAAAGCAGAGCAGAGATGGGTGGGGGTGGAAAAATGTGAAAATGTGTGCCCTTCACGCTCAACATCTCCTAATGCAACGAGGGCAGACCCACAGGCGTCCCATGCACCTATTGTGTTCCGCAGGCAGACTCGTGGCACCCAGGCAAGCTGCTTTGGACGTCTCGTTTTCTACTGTGCAAATAAACAGCAACTTCATTATAACGCTGCACAGATAAGAAAGACGCGGGCCGAGTGAGGTTGGGGAGACATTTAAAGATCACATTAACGATGAAAACAATTCGTCTTTGCATCTGTGTTGAATTCCACACTCCATCTCAATGTATTTGGTCGGGTCAATACCGCCCTGATCGATAAGGATAGCCAGTGCATCTATCAATTATCCCGCCTCAGCACTCTCTCCCATTGGTCCCTCCCCCGGAGCACAGGAGGGGGCAGCCGGGAACGGAGGGGATGCGTACAGCTGTTGGAAAAAAAAAATATCCCTCATTTGCGCACCTTTTCCTTTACTGTAATCGCGTTCCATTTGTTGTGTGTAATTTGTCCTGGGTGTTGAATATTCAAGCCAAATGCCGCACACAACAAGAAGGCAGGCAATTATTTTACCAAACGTCCGCTAAATCGCGCGTTCTATTTCCCATTTAGGTGCATGCCAGGGTCCCGTCAAAAGCGCAGTTGGTTTATTACCATTTGAATGGCCGGAGCACGTGCCAGAGTGTGCAGGTCAAGACCCAAGGGCCACGGAGGAAAAACATTGTTAAGGGTGGGAGGCCTCTATTCATGTTTCAATGGACTACACGCAGTTTACACGGCCCTAATCCTGGAGCAATGCCCCCCCCCCCCCCCCCCCTCCCTCCACCCTCCCCACCCAAACAATGCTCCCTTTGCCCTCCGCCTCAGCTTAGCAATGTCCATTTTTATTGAGTTACCCAGTTAACTTCCTTATTGCTGTTAATTCAAGTGTTCTTTAAATATTGCTTTTAAAATAAATAATGATGGCACCCACATAAAGGAGGCTACAAACGTTTCATTTTATTTCCCTCTACAAATCATTTAGAATGAGGGAATTTATTCCTGTGGGTCAGTTTTCTCTCACCGGTTTCAGGGCGCTGTCCAGAGTGCTGATATCTGCTGCCCGCTACAGCTACAGTGAACTGTGGGCATCTCCTCTGTTTTGAGGACAGTTCAAGGTGGTGAACTGGAGTTGTACCAATACATAGTTAATAGCATTCTTGTAGGCCTTGAACACCATTATTTCATCCAACAGCTTCCATCCATCGATCAATATTACAATCCACAACCGCGTCAATCACACCGCCCTGCACCCATACTGTCAGCACGACGCCATCCCATTTGAATCAGTTCCTTATTTATGTGTGTGTGTGTGCAGAAAATAAACTGGAGGCTAAATAAGCACTTATTTTTGTTCATTATAAGACGGGATAAGGCATTACGGTTAATCTGAAACATTTATGTTTTTCATGACGGGATGGCTTGATATTAGCCTGCGAAATGATCGATTGGTACTTTAATAATTGATTTGGGGGGCAGGGCAGCTGCGGTTTCAGAGCCTCGTTGTTCGCGAAGAAGAACTACGGAGACACACATTTTGAAATCCTGCGGGGGGGGATGCAACAGTCATCTTCTTGGGGTTATACCTCGAGGCGTATTTTGTTTAAATCCCAAGTGAATGAAATGACGTTATACGTCAGTAGATAACGAAGAGGCTGGATGCATGTGGTGGAGAGGGGGAGGGGGGGGGGGGTCAAGTCATACAACTTAGAATGAATATTCCTGATTTAATCATTCGTGGGAGGTTATGGGGGGGGGGGGGGGGGGGCACTCGTGTTGTGTGGTTTACAAGACTACATCTAAGGGCTGAAGCTTCATATCCTTACGCGCTTCCGCCTCCATACGTGTCGCCTCCGTTTCTCCTCTCCTGTGTGTATGTGATCGGGGTGTTGAGCGCGTCCACGCCACATTGTTGAGGCCGATCTGGCGAGCCCTGAATCTGTATCGATTTCCATTCCCCCGGCCTCGGCTTTCCATCTCTGGAGCTGCGCCATGCAGCCATGCACCCCCCCCACACTCCCCCTCTCCACCATGCAACACCATTTCTCACATTAACGGCTCACCCTTCACGACACACAGCAGCAGAACGAACGACTAATAGAAACGCGTGCACTCGCGCCGGCTCGCTGCAACAATCCCGCCGCGTGCTCTGGTCACCCACCAAAAAAAAAGGACCACTGGTTTTGTAAACTGGACAGTGTAAGACAGTTTTTGGAAGCCCACTCTCTTAAGTTCTGCGATATCGCGACGGATTAGCAGCACCAGACGGCTCAAAGGTCACAGCCGCTCATTATTCAACGCACGCGCGCACATTCTGACCGAGTCGACCTTATTATTCAAAATAATGTAATTTTAATAGAAATCAGATTAGCGACAGGCTGCGCCGTCTCCCACATCGGGCGTTCCGAGGGAACTCGGGCAATACTGCAAACACCCACACGGACACGCGCACGCGCACGCATACACAGACAGCAGAGGTCTGGAGTCAGTACAGTCTCGAATACCGTCTCTTCTATTTTAGATGATCAATTCCTACGCTACTCCGTCGCCCCCTCGCCAAACCGGATCGATAGGAGAGAATGACCTTTAAATCAAATTGCTGGCAGAGTCGACTGAACGCACGCGGCTAGCCTCAAATGGTTAATGGCACCGCGTGCCTCCCTCCCTCCCTCCCCTGCGAAACCAAATACACTCCCTCCCCACCCCCCCCAAAAAAGGAAATACATTTAAAAAAGGG